ATTAGTGAAATACATCAACAGGGTTACCAAAATATTTGCGTCTGGTCTTATTATTTTAAATGGTAACCAATTACTATTGATACAAAAGTGTAGTGCATCACTTCAGACAAGATAAAATAAGTCTTATGAACATTTTATCTTATGACTTCAGTAAATGAACCAAGACTGACTCATAAAATTCAGAACGACTTATCGAAATTTTAATCACATACTGCACTGTTGATAACATGACTAAATTTCAATTCAATTTCTAATCATTTCATGAATTTCGAAAGTTTAGCAAGAATAAAATTACCTGGTACGAAAATCAATCATTTTAATTATCGTGTCCTCGAAACGAACTAATTTATCTTCAACATTATGATCCAACCCCAAATTTTCTAAATGTTTTAAGCAGGATTCCAATTGTGCCGAAACTGGTTGATATCTGAAAAAATGAAAAATTATCTATTCATTAACTTTTATCGTTTTCACTATCTCACTTTTATTATGATAGGGAATGATTCAAATTTATTATATTTTCCTCGGTAGCTAAAAAAAGGAATAATTTTCATAAAATATATCGGACTTTTACAGATATTAACGAATAATTCTGTTGAAATTTCATAATACACTGAAAGTATTCATAATGTCATAAAATAAAACTTTTTAAGTTAAGGGAGGGCCTCAGCGCTGATTACAGCGCTAATGATACTAATATATAAACGGATTGCCATGAGATAATGACATTGATATATAAATATCAATGTCATTATCAAATGGCAAGAAAAAACATATCTTCTTAACAAATGCTTTGTAAAAAATTTGACGATAATCAAAATTAAAATACGAAACAAAAAGCGCAAACTTTTTGCTGACTGCAAGCATCGAATCTGGACCACCATCCAAAGCCATATATATCTGTTTGTCTGCTATAAAATCGAGCAATAATTTGACAGGTGAAACGTTCACTACGTAGTTCCAAATCGGACGTGGAATATGTGGCTTTAGAGAAGCAGCAATTACAAACTACAAAAAACAAAATCAAATATACAATTTGCCTAGATATATTCATAACCCCTAAGATATATGAGACCTTAACAAATAATACTTTATATCGACTAGCCAGAAAAAGATCCATTTAGTTAACTTGAGCCTTATATATTCTGTCTCATATTATAGCATCCTATATTTGATTAATTAATTGCTGGTTAGGCTAACAGTTTTTGCTGGTTAAACTAAATTTACGAGAAGTTTTTTAAATCTTTGTAATCCGGTTTTACTGAAAATTATACTGAAATGTTGAACATTGTTACTTTAATTATGTACTAGTCTAGTTTATCCTGAACAGTCGTCCCTATTTAGGCTAGGATTTTGCCGCACTTAATTTCAAATAATAAGCACTGAATAATTCATGGATCTGAACTTTGGGATTTCAATTAAAGTTCTTATGCTGTAGCAACGCACCTTATTTCGCAGTTTTATCAACCTTTCCTTTACATAAGGTTCTACCGCTGGCATTACTCGACATAAAATATCTGCTATGTTTAGTTTTGCGTCCAGTGTACTCAAAACATTCAGCGTTGCTACTCGCAGATATTCATTCTGAAAGTAACAGTTATAGCCAAATGAACACCAGATAAATATATTAATTGGTAACTCAAATTTCCAGACATAGAGTAGCATTCATAAGACAAATAAACTTAATGACCGAACAATAAGCTCGATAAAGTGCTACCACCCAAAAACATTAAAGTCTAAATTAACTAAAACACATTTACTGGATGAGATAAAAATTGTACGACATCATCCAGCAATTCGTAAATGGCACTTTTCTCGAGCAAATTTTTTTCACATAGTTGACATATGCAAGATAATGTGTTGAACTGCACATATTCTTCGTAATCATATAAACCCTGCAACACAGGTCATGTTTTCGATTAAGAATCATTTTTGTATTTTAAAAAGTAATTTGAAAATTATGGAGTTATGCATGTTAAACTCCATTTTCTAAATGAACGTTTTCGTGATCAATCAGTAATTATACGATTTATTTCTTCCAAAAAATATGTTTATTTCTGGTCAAAAAAATACATATGAAATCATGCATATCAAGTTAATTACAAGCGCAATATAATTTAGATCCAAAATTAATCAATAACACCGTTATTCTTACTTCTGCATATCGCCTTTTCCATATGTATTAAACACTTATCAAGTTATTTTCGTTCATTATCTTAACTGTAAGAAATTATCAAAGCTTATTACATCTTAATCAATTACTTTCATTCACATCTTTGTCTTCTTTTAACTTCACTTGCATTTTCTTATACTTATTATCAGTACTGAAGTTCTCATATTAACACGAAGATTGTTCAACATCATATAAAAATCTTATAATGATATTAAATAAGAAATGCACAAGTACGAACCTGCTGCAGAAGTGCTTGTAAGATGTAGGTACCTTGACGACCAATCATATAAGCAACAATGGGACAACATTCAAAGAATGCTGCTCGAAGGCGCCAATCCACTTTGTCATTCAAAAATGTAATCAAATGCGATAGCAAGACATCCGTTGCTATAAATCAACTCATAAAATATTGAAATTTATCTTTTAACTCGAAATTAAAATCTAACACGAAAAAGTTGAACCAATTTATTATAGTGTCATAATTTTAGAATTACAACGTTAATTGTTCTTCATTTATACTGAACCTTGATTTAAAAACAATAATGCAGCTTAATTTGCCTTTGAATCCATCTGGCTTTTTTAAAAGTAGTTAATTTGTTTCATGCTATATTAATTCTTACTGCTAATACCCTCCTCACCATTGTAGGCAAAGCAATTTTCCCAGCCATAAATATTTATTAAGCAAAATAAGTGCAAGATGACACTTCTATCATTTAAAATATTATTATATACCATCCCGTCAGTCGAGTATCAACAATGTTAAATAGATTACAATAATAATCACCTCTTCGACGATCAAAAAAGCGACACAACTTTGTTAGTGACTTTCGAGTTACAACACTATGCTGCAAACAAAAATTTTTTTGACTATGAAACAATATAGCTGGAATCCACTTTTTCATCTAAATTATTATTAAACTGTGCTAACAGATTTTCTTCATAATTAAATTGCAAAAATCTAGTTGGAGCGTAAGATAATTTTGAAATTAAAAAAACAAACAAAACAGTTCAAAATCGAAAAGAATTAAAAACGAAAATGTGAAGCCAATTTCGTGATAAGTTCAATTTTTTTTTTGGAAGAAATAAGTTGAAATTTCATAAACCTTCTGCAAAAAAAGGGAAACTTTCAAATTAGGAAGAATGAAGCACAGAAAAATCAAAGCCAATATTAGCTTCTTACAAATTCTGATACCTTGACGATGTTCTCGGAGTCGCATAAATTGACAAAAATATCAACAATAGTCTGCTGAAGCGCTTTTGTTTCTTGTTTTGCAAATTGTTTCTCACATTCATTATCATCCATTTCGGTAACCATCGATCCATCCAACAAATCTTTTGTCAAATTTTTTCGTTTTTCATAGACAAATCTGAGATATAACCATTCCGAAATAAAATATGAGTGTAGTGAAAATTAAAACACATACTTAGTATAAATAGAGCAATGTCTACCTGAAAGAAGCTTCGGCTAAATCGCCCAAGTTTTGTGCCAGAATTATTCGTACCACGGGATTACGATCCAGGGAGACATACTTCTAAAATATATTTATTTATTTAAATAAGCACAGACAGCAAATTTCTATAAGTTTACATTATCTTTCCTAGTTTTCCTGAAGTCTTTTATAAAATTACTTGTTACCTAGGATAATGAAAAAACCATAAAAGATAATTGCTATTCCGCGACTGCTTGAAAGAAAGTCATAAACGAGCAACAGAATATTCCAAATTGAAGTATAAACTAAGATCTTCTTTTAAAATAGAAAAGCGCATAAATTAAAATAAACTATTTAAACAGAGAAATAAAAATCCTTATTTTTATCACGATTTGGAATGGTGCAATAAAAGATTTGATACAATAATGTAAATTCATTTTTCTAATATTTAATGTTAGAAAAATACAGTAGAAGTCTTACAAGTCTAGGAAACAAATAATCCATAAATAGTCCAGTTTCATGGCGTGGTATTTCCTTGAATGATGTTAGTAGCTTAGTAACTGAATAAATGGCCTCACATTTCACTTGAACCATGCAATCGAACATCATTTCAACCTATAAAAATTTATTATTTAAAAATCGTTATCATAAGGAATATGGATACGAAAAGCTAAAACGCTGATCTGATTCGAAAAATAAATTCGTGTACATTTTCAGCTCAAATATCGAAAACAACGAGAAAATAACAAACCAAATACGGCAATATACGATTTGCAACAACCGATATATCAACCCACGGCACGTACCTATGCAATAATTTCATAGCTTCCTAAAAAAATCTAATTTAATCTGGAATAATAGCTAAAAACATAGAATTCAGATATTGAGATTGAAAAAAGTGCAATTAATAGATATTCATCAGATAAATGAATTAAAAATAGTTTCATTCAAAATTATTTTCGAACTAACATACCAGTTAATTTCTTTTCTAATAAAGTTCTTTAGTCTTCCTTTCTCATTATCTTTTAATAGTGCTTATGAAATTTAAATAAGAATATTTAGTTTAATCCTAATTTTATGCATAGCAATAAAATGGAATAAGCAACTCTTCAAAAACTGATTACAGAATGCACTTCAGTGATATGCAGACAAATATCTCTTCATATGTAGAAAAACACTATAGTTCCATTCAAAAAAATTAAATATAAAAAGAAATGTGCTAACAAATTTTATAGTCAATGATTTTAATGAACGCATATTTGAAGTGATCAATGCAATGATAAGTAAAAGGCCACGTAATTGATCGAATGGTTTTCCATTAATTTCAGCCTTCTCTGATAATTTACCCACAGTTGCCTGCATATCGAACGATAATCTGAATAATTCTGGTTTCAATTTTTCCTAATATCGGAAACCGAAGAGTATATGCATATTTTAAACCTTTTATACAAGAGGCCGATAATAATGAAGTGTTAGTCTGATGAAGTAAGTATAAGTCCGCGTGGCTTATAAAATAATGTTACTATTAGCATTAGCTATTTTCTGAACAAAATAAGATTCCTAGACAGAAATATATAAAAAAATTAGGAAAACATAAATCTGTAGATGGCAAAAGTATCTCGACATCTCTCAAACCACCACAATTTTAAAAAATAGTGAATTAAACGAACTTTGTAATCGCATCATCCGGCTCTATTAATTCTGAAGTTTGCGCTTCTTCAAGCGATGCGCTTGTTTGTACATATTTTGGTCGAAAAGTATTTATATAACCATAAAGGAATTGATCGAATATTGGTGGAAATAAAAGTGGGGAATAATCTCGAACCTTAAAATTTAACTTTCAAAAATGAAGTAAACGTTTTACCACAAACTCTCACAATACAGAAGAATGAAGTAAATGCTTATTTATTAAAATGAAAAGAAAACCCTTTTACACCTGTGTTTCACTTTCTCTTAAATGAAAGAAATTTGAAATGAGTAGTTAAAA